TAAATTTTTGCTCTTCCTGTATCAGTAATCATGATACATCAGTGAACTCTTACCAATTTTTGTTTCCGTCTTCGTAGATTTACCGATGATCTTACCAAGTAACTGCTTGTGAAAATTAAAAACAACTAAGTGTTTGCTTTATAAGTACTCGTTTCATTACGAAAACTTGTAGTACTGCATCGGTTTAGAAGTTTCGCCATAGTGTTGCGTTGTATATATAAGTTTTTTCACTATGAAAGTATATTCGGACAGATACTTGTGGTGGCATCGTTTCCTAATCACATTGTCTTCGGAGTCAAGCGTATGATGACTGAAAAGGTGTATATTCGACATGACACTTTGAGAAGCTCGGCAATGGTGAACTTGGAGATATTCACTCAATCGGATGCTATGGCTTAGCCTTACGGACGTGCTCATTTTGTGAAACTTATTACTATTCACACTAAAAGCATTATTCTATCTCCAGCACAAATGTGTTCTTCGGAAGTACTAAGAATCATGGTTAATTGTCACGATACAATGAGTCAGCGTAGACAGTGATGTGACCTTCACTTAAGATCTTACAGATTAGATACATCATGATATATACACCGTTTTGAGATTAGGTCTATTATCAAAGTGGTATTAGTATCGAACTGAACTATATTTCTACATACTAACAAGATTTTTAATGTAAAAGACTGAATATAGTTGTTATATTTATATTTAAATAATTCATCAGACAAATAATTGTGGTAGTAGTCAATATAAAACACAGTTATCGTCAGCTTGTAAACTGTTTCGCCACATAATCTTCTGTATTCAGAAATCCTCTAAGTTGTTCACTGGCATAGACTTGATTTTTAGAAAGTTTCGAACCTTTCAATTTGTTGACAGAAGACATAAGTCGCATATCAAAAAATGTATGAGGACTTTCTCAGATTGATGCAGTTCTGAAAAACAACAGATCAATCGTGAAACAAACGATTGACCTTCATTATCTGTATCAAGTTCAATAAGTAAATGAAACAGCCGATAACATAATGTACCTGAAAGTGACTTACTTGTTTTAAACTGTACTCTTCGTTTTTTAACCCTTCTAGAACAGACTGTTGAATTATGACTCCTGATGGTCACATGGAATATCACGAACCAATGATATTCGTACTTATTTTTTTATAAAAAATGCCTCTTTAAATCCTGTTTATGACGTTGAATTAGTCTCGCTTTCTACCGAGTAATTTTATTACAAGCAAAGCTAGACAATTTTCTAAAAACGAAGTTTGCTCACGACCCTACGTAATCAATAAAAATAAGAATGAGCAGAAATAGCCTCGACAAAAAAGGGAGAAAACCATTTGTGTATCAGAATACTGTTTGCTGTACTATATTTTATTACTTCACACAATCCTATACTTTCAGCTTCTTTTTGAACCACGTCCATTTTTACAGTTCTTTGTCGATTCACAGTATATTTACGTATGTTTTCTTTAACCTACTAGAATGGTTATAGTATTCGAATTATCGTATGAATTAGGAATTCTAGGATTAACGCAATTGAATTAAGAAGACACAGGCACAACGAATGTACTGTATTTAGAATTCGAAATCGAGCATTCAACAAGTACAAAAGAATCATTAGTTAATTCAAACACCACATCCGCCACAGCTTAAATAGAAGTATAAGTGTTTGTAATCGGTTGTACGTCTTCTTGTTAAGTTCATCCTGAGTCTGTCCGACATTGTATAAGATAAAAACTTTGTAGTATCTAGAAAGTGCTCATTAGTATTGGAATTAACAAACGAAATCGGAACAGACTCACCTGGAATTGTATACAACCAGCATGTCGGTTTTGTAATGAAATCATTAATATCTAGAATTCGAACCATAGATTTTTCAACACTATCCCCCCCCACGAAATAATGTTGGATCTTTATACTCCCAAGTTATGAATAATGTGGCTTCATTTAAAACATATATCTCACATTGTTTAGAGTAAACATTAGAACTGTTTTTGTGATAAGAGTAAACAGCAGTTGATATGAAATCATCCGAAATATAATAAAACTCGAGGTCACTTAGTACTCGTGCTTCGCATTGGGCAGGTTTTTCACGAAGATCAAATACATTATGAGGATAGATAATATATGATATAACATCAGGATTTGATTCTTCTGAAATATTCTCATGAAATTCATCAGGACTGTCGTTGCAGAGCGTAGGATCGTTAGAGAAATCAGCATCTATCCAAACCACATCAGGTTTTCGATCATGATTAGGTTCATTTAACATATTTTCCTCAGAATTGCAAGTAATTTCATTAGAAATATGTGAATCATTAGGAAAAGTCATACTTGGTACAATAGCATGAGAATTCTGATAAATCGGTTGATTAGGAAATGTTGTCTCACAAGAATTCTGGATTTCATTTAACTCTGAACTGCCATATGACTCTGCACTGTCTTTTGAAATCGTTGATAAAGATAAATGATCATCATGAATACTCGACTCAGTAGAATCAGAATTACAAGACTTAATATTAATTGCAGTAAGATGAACATTAGCATTACAAACTGACTGAACTTGTCCAATATCACGACATTTGAAGCATTTAGAATTATGAAATTTACATGAATTAGAAGAGTGGAACTTGCAACAGGACAAACACTGACCAAACTTGTCCCCATCCTCGTGAACTGCATCCAAATTCAATGAATTGTCTGCATAACCTTGAGTATGCACTAGGTTGAGATGACGTAGTAATGTAGTGGACTTTTTTATATCCTCATGAATCATTTTACGAAATCTTCCTCCTTTACGACATTTGAAAGTTGTATACTGAGCATAGTCTAGCAGTAGATCCTTGAGAGCTGTATAAGAAAGCGAAATGGGTTTTTCCGGCATAGCCAGAGTTCTTAATAAGCTGTATGCTTCTTTTCCAATGAATGTGAGGAAGTGTGCCACAATATTAAAATCCTCATCATCTTCCTTGGTCATAGCCCAGATTTCGAACCTTTCAAAGTAATCTTCAAAAGCTTCTGAAGTTGAATGAATATCTAACTTTTCCATTGCAGGCTCCATCGCGACGCCAATATAGTATTCTAATTATAGTATGAATTAGGAATCCCAGGATTAACGCAATTGAATTAAGAAGACACAGGCACAACGAATGTACTGTATTTAGAATTCGAAATCAAGCATTCAACAAGTACAAAAGAATCATTAGTTAATTCAAACACCACAATGGTCTTGCCTAAAAAGTACCTTAATAATAGAAAACTAGACTGAGTAGTCATAACTTCTCTATTTAATTACAAATGACTCATTTTTAATATGCACGAACATAACGTGCTTTGTATTATCCCACATACTTTTGTGATTAATGTACCTTATAAAGTATCAGACTAGCTGAGTAACCCACCACAATGAAACTGTATCACCTGCAACAATTCGATCTTGCCTGTAAACTGGCATGCCTCATGTAACAGACTGTTATTTGAGAATAAATTACTACTATAATTATTTGAATTTCACCCAGTCATTTTGTAATAACAAATAAACCACAGGCACTAAATCAGCGGATTCCAAAACTTTAATTTGTAATATGAAATCCGAAAAAATCCAATTACAGCGTTTATAATTTTATTAGCAATTCACTGTTTACATACAATAATGACATCATTGGTAAGGACAATTTAGATATCACTCGTTATTATGCATTAGAACTTTGTTTATAATTTGGTCAGTGGTTTCGGATTCTTTTTACAGAAATTCATTCGTTAACCCTAAAAGCGGACACATCATAAATTAGTATAAACTATGACGTGGTTTAGTTACCATCGTTTTACTGAAAAAGAATATGTGACTAATTAACATGCCACACGCAATAATGTTACACATAGTTCCTGTATATGTTCAGAGAGAGGGCAGGAAAAGCTATCAACGTCAGTTGTTACCCATGTAAGTTCTCTTTCTCAGTTAAGTTACGAAATAATATATCAGTCCGGTCGAAAACCATGATACATATTATGGATAGAACTGTTGATGGCTGTTTATTAACAACTTACACAGTATTCAAAAGCAGTTTAACATTCAATTACTTCAACCTACACTTATCCATGTTCATCACCACCATAATTATGAAGGTGAATCAAATGTGAAAGGCTTTAGAGCTGATTTTTACTTGAAATTCTGACTGTAGTTTATTTTTGACTTGAAATTCGCTTACTTGAGTTTGAATTGTTACAAATAACCACATTAGGCCGTCTGAACATTCAGCCAGGTTGTGAACGACAACTACGTCAAACTACTAATAAACTGGAATAAAAGCTATGTGATAAGCACAATTATTACAAAAGTTGACATTTGACGAAAAAATGCTATTAATAGCTAGTAAATAACGACATCCAAAATTATCGACATCTAAAACGTGCGCGAGAACATACTTTGGCTTCTTGATCGATCACTGTCTCTTTTGAATAGCGTGCGTCGGTTGATGTCAGAACACAAGGATCAATAATTTATAAGATTGACGAACCAGTTAAATGGTTCAAAAGTTGAGTATCCTTGATGCTGAAAACTGAAGGCTGAGCCGCATTTCAAGCTCTGCGGTACTTTGTCAAGGCCTTGTACAAAAGTTTCCAATTCGGTCAGCATAATATTTTAAATTCGCACTCATCCTCTAATTCGTTCATATCCTAATCTTTTATTGGGTTCAAGTCTGTTATATATTCCGAGTCTAAAATTTTGGTTCTTATTGTCCCTTTTTAGATTATCGAGTTAGCTGAGTCAATAAACATCTCCAGTCATACGTTTTTTCACCAATTCCCAAATAAATTTCACACAAAACTTTAGTTAGAGACCGTAGTCGACTGGACGCTAGGGGTAAGCTGTACTGTTCCGTTTGCTATGTAAACTAACTAACTATTTAGATCTTTGTCCTAATAACACCCAAACTATTCAGAGACATTGATACATCGTTTGCAGAACCACGACTAACTGGCAGGAAGCTGGTCAAAGAATGGCTTTTAGTTTTAAATCTTCTAAGTACTTGCTCATAGCCCTTAACTTACTCTACTTAGTAACTTGGAAAATGTGTATAAGAGCCAATATTTTTCTTAGGTTGTTGCTTTCATTCTTGTTGGCGTTGCTGCGTATGCCAGGCTGAGCATCTATGTGACGAGCGTTCATATTGTTGGCGGTATTATAGCTTGTGGAGTCTTCCTCTTTGTGCTTGCTGTAGTTGGATTGTTGGGCGCTATCAAACACAACCAGCCAATATTATTTTTCGTATCCTTTTAATAATCACACCTCTCTGATTAATACATTTATATATTCATGGATAGCTTCTCTCAGTTCGTTTCGTGGCTTGGGGTAATTATGTTTTTTTTCTGACACGAAGCAGACATACTTCACTGAAGCACATGGGTGACACATTGGTCTGGAACTACTACGTCTCTGTACTTGGCACAATAAGAAAGCTCCCTAGTTCTTCGACTAATAAGTATCAGTCCTTATTTTTGCCAACTATGGAAAACTTGATCAGACCCTAACTGAATGTACAATTGAGTATAAAATGCGATGATTCGTAATATTGATTTGGTATTATAAAGTAGATGGTTGAAAATTAGTTACCATAGGTTATTCGACTCGATAATGTAGCATCTTAAAATTAATTGAATATAATTTCCAGGCACTAATTAAATCATAAGTTTTGTACATTCCTCAGACAGCTACACAAAACTCCTGAACTTATGACTTTTCAACCTTGACGGAAAGTAAGTGACTATTCTTTTTGGACTTTATCTCTTCATCGAAATGTAATGAAGATTTTTTCTCATATGCTACACTTGGTTTAGTCTTCCTTTGTTGTACAGTGTAGTAACTTAAATTAGTCCACTTTTTCGTGTAATCAATGTCACTAAAATGCATAACCAAAAAGAGTTATGTTTGTAAGATATGTGGGGATTAAAATAATAAGCAATATTATCGGTTTCCAGTCGTATTATCTATTAAGTGTAGGCATTGGTCTGTAAAAATCCTTAAAACTCAAGTGAAAAAAACTTGACTCCACTTCAGGGTTTAAATGAATGCTCACAGATTTACTTGGTGAATTATATTCACCTCTCACAAAACTCGTCTATAGTCCCTTATTAGTCATTAGTATATAATCCTACTTTTCAGCCTCTTTCTCGTCCAGTTTTCTGTAGCATGCGCTTGTCTGTCACTCTCCAGTGATTATCAAAAGATTTTAGTTGAGACGGCGTGGAAACAAAGCTCCAATAACTCAAAACTAACTGTCATGACGGCGTTTAAGTGTTGTGGTCTCCATAAAGCCGATCTGCTTCCATCTGACCCACTGGGATGTCCCCCGTGCAAGTTAGCCAAGGTAAGTAGTTAACTAATTATATACATTAACTTGTTAGAATTTATCGTTTCTAATTCCAATAACTTGAAATAGTACACAATTATTTAGATGGTGGTTGGAGGTAGTCAACAGGAAACCCTGGACCCGGGTTTCGTGCTACTTGGCTACTTGGTACACCTTGCTGACGAGTGCCAAGTAACACGAAACCCGGGTCCAGGGTTTCCTGTTGACTACCTCCAACCACCATCTAAATCTCAATACATAGTGCCCACAGTGTAGAGTCACCTAGACTGGTGGCCACATTGCAACATGATCGATAGCATTCGATCTGCACTAATAAGGACTAGACAAGCATGACATTGATCACCACCCAGTGATCAATCAATTGTGAGTACACAATTATCTAAGTATATACTTCATGTTTTGTTCCCAAAACACATTGGATATCTAATGAACTGGACATATATAATGCTCCTGAAGCTCTGCTTTACTGTTTTTTATATTACGAAATAATACGGACTATTTTATCAAGCTACTTCACGATTCCCGACTTTCCACTGTAACAGTTTGTTACAAAATCAAATTCTTCTAAAATGCTAACCTTTGATTTCATGGCGCATATCTAAACAATCCACATTGTACTGCTGATAATCTAGATCTTCTTCCTAACCTTATTATTAGTTGTCTCCCACTTATCCCTAACCAATATTTTAGCCAACTTGTTTTTGTGTCTGTGAGACAACTGCAACCATTAGAAAATATGTATTGATTACAGATGTTTGGTTGCGAATATATTCGAAATAACAGTCACTAAACAGAAAGTTTTAGGCTTAGACTGAATAGTCGAAGGAAGGAAGCTGAGTCAATCGGTGGCCCCCAAACGCCCTGGTACGGCAGGGAGTGGGGAGAGTCAGCTATCCCTCACAAAATATTCTCACATCGCCACGTGTATACAGCCACTACCAGGAAATTCCTACTCACTGCCTTCTCATGGCATTACTGTTGTTTACGAAATTGAGAGGACGAAAAGTGAATGTCCGGCGCTTTAAACGGGTTGGTGGACATGAAGAGTCCACCTAGGGGAGTTGGAAAACCCTTATTCCAAACCAATGGTGTACATGGGCTCTAGTATCCTAAAAGATCAAATGGCGTATGAACCAATCGTTGGTCACCGGCTACCATGGGACTGCATCTCCTTACGATGCTCCACTGCCTTGTGGGTTAGACCTTTAGGTCAAAGGCTCGGGGAGTGGCCCCCTAAGATAACGACCTGCTTCGGTTTGGGCACCCGGGCAGTATCACAGCCTACACACAAATTGATGAACTCTTTATGCCTATGGAAATCACCTTTCTCGCTTTGAAAAACAAACAATTGATTCAGATTATTATCATTACAATTATTGTCATTATTAATACTATTATTATTATTACTACTATTATTGTCATTATTGTTATTATTATTATTATTTTCCACGTTATTCACCCTCTTTTATACTTATACAGCGGCTCGTCTTTGGTGGAAATTCGACTGTATTTAAACGTTCTCGAGTCACTGTCCGGTTGAAAATTGTATGTTACCACCGAATACGAGGACTGAAGCAGTTTTTCTGAAACCACGTGCACCATTCAAACTGGCTGCCTTCAACGTTCGCTCATTTATGCAGGTCGGACAACAGATAGGGCTGGCTATGTCTTTGGAAAGTCTTAATACTGATGTTTGTTGTCTATCCGAGACCCGTATTCAAGACTCTGGCGAAGTACTACAAATTCGATCTCCATCTGTCGCTTCGAAAAGCTTGTTTTACGTGCGCTTATCCGGGGACCCTGTGGCATCTTCGTCTGGTCTTGCTGGCGCTGGTGTCGCACTAAGCGCTAGAGCTGAGGCAGCACTAGTCGATTGGATCCCCATTAACAGTCAGTTATGTGCTGTTAGATTAGAAAGTTCCATCAAAGTGAGAAGAAGTCGGCGTGAGAAACGATGTCTTTTCGTCATCTCCGCCTATGCCCCGACAGATTGCAGCCCGGATGCAATCAAGGGGCAGTTCAACCGACCTGACGCCCCAGGAACATTGGTCAGACTGTCCTGCCCTCCATGGCCTGTGACGACTGATACGCCAAATGAAGCGGAAGTCCACAAGGAACTCCAACTCTTAAAGCGCTACAAATCACCGGGCTCAGATGACTTACCTCTGGCTCTTTTTAAAGATGGTAGTGACTTTCTGGTTAGGGAACTGACAACATTGTTTACAAAGGTCTGGAAGCTAGAGAGTGTACCAACGTCATGGAATGAGTCGATAGTTGTCCCTATCTTTAAAAAGGGTTCACGTCGTTCCTGTAACAACTATCGGGGGATAAGTCTACTTCCAATTGCGTTCAAACTGTTGACTTCTGTCATACTTTGTAGGTTGTTCAAAACCCGAGAAAGATTGACTCGCTAGGAGCAGGCTGGTTTTCGTTCTGGTCGAGGATGTATTGATCATATCCTCACCCTCCGCAAATGTTAGAACACCGTCATACTTATCACAGACCAACAATCGTAGTGTTTCTTGACATCAGGGCTGCTTTCGATTCGTCGAACAGGACTGTCCTCTAGAGTTGTCTATTGAAGAAGGGTGTGCCTGAGAAGTTTATTAACATCCTAAAAGCCCTATATGCAAACACCTCAGGCAGAGTGAGGGCATACAACCACCTCTCTCTAATGTTCCATTCAACCAGTGGGGTTAGGCAGGGTTGCCCAATCTCACCATTCCTCTTCAACTTTGCCATCGATGACATTCTGGAAATAGCTCTGAAGGATGTAAGTAATGGTGGTGTGGATCTGTTGCCTGGAGAAAGACTTCTCGACCTTGAGTATGCGGACGATATTGTCTTACTGTGCGATAATGCCGAAGGCATGCAATCCGCACTTAATCAGTTGGCAATCAGTGTCCGTAGGTATGGTATGTGCTTTGCACCTTCGAAGTGCAAAGTACTTCTACAAGACTGGCAGGATTCTAATTCTGTACTCACCCTGGGTGGTGAGCAGATAGAAGTAGTCAAGAAGTTCGTGTATCTGGGTAGCTGCGTAAGTGCTGGTGGTGGCCTGAGTGATGAGATCAATGCACGTATAGTGAAAGCCAGAGCGGCTTATGCCAATCTGGGCCATCTTTGGCGCCTTCGTGATGTCAGTCTGGCTGTAAAAGGTCGGATCTACAACGCGTCGGTGAGAGCAGTTTTGCTCTATGCTTGTGAAACCTGGCCTCTCCGAGTTGAGGACGTTAGACAACTCTCTGTGTTCGATCATCGCTGTCTCCGAAGGATTGCTGACATCCAGTGGCAACATCATGTCAGTAATGCAGAGGTTCGGCATCGTATGTTCGGGCGCAGAGACGATAATGCAATTGGTGTCACCATCTTGAAACACCGACTTCGGTGGCTTGGACATGTTCTCCGAATGTCGTCCCAGAGAATTCCACGTCGTGCATTATTTGCCGACTCTGGGACTGCTTGGAAAAAGCAGTTGGGCTCCCGGGCAGTAACTCAGCCCACACGCAATTAATGAACTGAAATTGTGTGGCGCATTTATCTTTGGCGCACTCCTGTACCAATATATATGTGTTCAAACAAATAAATAAATAAATAACCTATACCTACTGATTAGATTATATATTTTTGCAATTTTTACCATTTTTTTATTCGATATCCTGTTAATCTAGTTCTAAGTATTACAACTATGACTGATAGGATATTTATTCTTATATCGGACTAGGTTATCCAGTTCTAGTTTTTAATCAGACTTAAGGTGATTTAATAGTATCACACTATTTTCTCTAGCTGTCTTGCTGCGATACACCTGATGGTGAAACTGCTAAATGCTGTCAAGGTCCAGATGTGGGGAATAAAACGTTTTGCCCATGTACTACAACTTGTTGGACTGTAATTCAAGAACGGTTATCAACTGGTGTCCGAGTTACTGGTGCCACTAGCCTTTTCTTCAGCGTTATTGAAGTGAGTTCTTAGTTTGTAATTGTGTTACAGCCACTGGTATTTTGTGCTTTTACTAGTTTAATATATATTTATATTAATCAGTTAACCTTATAACATACAGTTCACATGCAACTGGTGGAAAACTATTGCTGTAATCATGATTGTAAAATAGCTGTACTGCAGGATGGCCTTCTACAATCAAATGTCAAATCAGTTAGAAAGATTCAGAGAGATAAAAGTCTTTGACAGCAGTCGGATGACGAGTGAAAGAGGTCATATAAACCTAAACGAGTGTATTTTTAATGATATAATTACCTCGAATATATGTTGAACCTGTGATCTGAAAGCCTAATCTCATAAACAGCTGGAACATTACTGTCTGAAAAAAATATGGAAGATCCATAAATATATCCATATCAATAGGTTTAGGATCATGACTTTGTAGCGTTTGAAAATAAAATTTACATGCTTGTAAATCTGAACCAGCACTAGAGTATAATGTTTCTAAAAAATTCCCCGCGATTCTTTCCATTATCATTTCATAAACTAAGCACTTCTGATTTTCCATTTAATTCCAGCGCCAGCGAATATTACTGAATGTAGAGGCTGTTAGAAAATTATGAATAAAAGTTTCACTTCATTGAATTATTGATACATTTTTTAAGCATGCGTTTCCACCCTTCAGTATTATATGAACGGTGTTCCCAGCGGACATAACGTAGTTATGACACTGTCTTCGTTTCCATTTGCTTAAGTCCAAATTGACTACCACCTTTTTATGGTTTCTGCGAAACCAATGCATCATTTATTATGTAAAGCTCCAGCTTGTGATTAGCACATAAATAGCTCAAAAATATCCAAAGAGAACTCAAATTATATACCCTTGTCGCACTCCTAAAGTTTCAGGCTGGCGGTCATGCGTAAAATATGTCAAGTGCCATATCTGTAAGTCTGTTTGTCTTATTTGGCCTAATATGTGGATAGTAGTTATGTTTGTTAAAAACCTTTACGTATTTGGGCAGCATCATTGATGAACAGGGTAGATCTGATGCAGATGTGAAGGTGCGGATCGGCAAAGCAAGAGCAGCATATTTACAACTGAGGAACATCTGGAACTCAAAGCAACTGTCAACCAACATCAAGGTCAGGATTTTCAATACAAATGTCAAGACAGTTCTACTATATAGGGAAGAAACCTGGAGAACTACGAAAGCCATCATCCAGAAAATACAGGTGTTTATTAACAGTTGTCTACGCAAAATACTTCAGATCCGTTGGCCGGACACTATTAACAACAACCTAATGTGGGAGAGAACAAACCAGATCCCAGCGGAGGAAGAAATCAGGATGAAGCGCTGGAAGTGGGTAGGGCACACATTGAGGAAAGCACCCAACTGCATCACAAGACAAGCTCTCACTTGGAATCCTCAAGGGAAAAGGTGGAGAATAGGAAGACCAAAGAACACATTACGCCGGAAAATGGAAATAGACATGAGAAAAATGAACAAGAATTGGATGGAACTAGAAAAAAAGGCCCAGGACAGAGTGGGTTGGAGAATGCTGGTCGGCGGCATATGCTCCATTGGGAGTAACAGGCGTAAGTAAGTAAGTAATGTTTGTGTGCTTGTCTTATTTAAATATAGTTACGGGAGAACCCCGATGAAAACAGTAGGCAGTAGGTGTATGTAAATTAAATGAGTATGTAGGTGTTCTCAAAAAATGTCAGGTCGATGATTCTCGACTCTCTTCTTATTGTGTTTGTGTGGTTAATTCCTTAATCATTAAATTCTCATATTTGTTTTCATTAGCTCATCGTTTTAATCATCATGTTTTATTTGTCTACAGCTTCTAGGAGTCTGGACAGCTCTTCGCTATCGGCACCAACGTGATCCTTTACTTGATCCGAACAGCGTTCTTTGAACTGTCTTCTCCATATTCATTGTCATTACTATTATTATTATCGTCAATGCTAGTGCCATACCATATAGCTCTGCAACACATCATGGATGCTTGACAGATTAATTTTATAACATAACGTAACATTTTCTAGTCATAAATACTATTGAAACAACCTTAATTTCACCTATTTCTTTGTGTGTTTGTATACATTATTGCTTTAATTGTTTTCATCTATCCCAATTTATAATCAATATTATCTTCACAAGTGATAAAAGCCCCCATATCCCCATTATCATTTGTTCGATGAGTTCATTTTTAATATATTTTCTTTAAACTAGCGAAACAGACTGGTCTTTGCACACACAAATTTGTGCATATTTATCTGTTTTTCACTCTATATTTGTGTTCGTACACAACAATTGTCTTAATTAAGGTTTCAAAGCACTTGAAGGGATCCATAAAACGTAAAATAGATTTCGTGTAAATAATAGTCTTCATCCTTTTTTTATTGATGTTCATGAATGCGCTAGGTGAAGCTTAATGGATCGTATGAAAATTTTAATGATACATACATTGATTGTTGACAGTTTTCGACTGGCTATTGGTTATTTTTGAGTTGCGATTCCATAAGCCAATATATCAGGTTTTTTTGTCATATTGATCGATCAGTTCTTCTCATTGTCCTTTATATTAGTTGCTTATAACCCATGGCTATTGTTGCTTTGTAATATTTAGCTATATAACAATCATTATATTCTCTCGTGTGATGGGTGACAAAAGAGATAGTTGTTAGAATACTTGATTTTCAATCACTTTTTTTCCAGATTCAAACTACTTATCCTTCACAATAAAAAGGTATCTAAAAGTTGGGTATATGAATTTGCCCTTAGTTACTGATTTGTCTTAATTAAATTAGTTACCTGTCCCAATAGCTGTTCTAGAAGCAAGTAAAAGTAGTAACCCCCCATTGTCATGTTGGTACGTGACCCATTTTGATTCCTGTTCACTGCTATGAGTAGTAACCCAAAGAATACTGTTGGGAAGTTCAGTTTGTCAGCTATCTGGAGGCAATATCCTGTTAAAAGCTATCTGCAGAAAAGGAACGTTCAGTTAAAAAGTGTTTTTATATATATTTAATTTCACCAAAACAAACTATTCAATGACTTACAAATGGTTTTAATGTGAATTATTTTGTACATTTTATGTTAATCGAAATAGTTTTTGTGTAGGTAAACTTCAAACCAATATGTTCATAATAGTTCTCAATGGTTTTAACAATACTACCAACTTTTACTTGGCGTCATCTAGTTATTTTTATTCAGTGCCATCCGAAATATTCCAATATTAAACTGAATAGAATTGTTTCGTGTATTGATTACAATTTCAGTTAGAGGCATTTGGCTTAGTAGTTCGAAAAACTAGTCTCGGAATTAATGGATAGAACATGTAAATCGATATCACCTCTAAAGAAGAAAATGACATATCAGTTATTAAAAATAGAGCTATCCATTTATTGCTGTACTGCTGCATAACAGAAAGGAACTGGATTGCCATTCACTTGTAGGTATCACATGCTATCTTGTGGAGAATATAACGGGAAAATAATCTAAATAATAAAACATGAGATTATTATCAAAGATGGATAGTGGCTAGCAGTGGAATCCAGGACGCGCGTCTTGTCCTATTTGGGACTCGTCAGCTGCATCTCAGAGTTGATGTTCACTCTGGGACTCGAACCCAGTATCGTTCGCTTCAAACGCCGTTGCGTGTGTGATGATGCTTGGAACCACTGACTTATTGGATCCTTAGGGCCTCACGCAGGGTGTTATGACATAGCAACAGACAGTAATCCAACAATACCATTCATTTCAACATACCCTATCAAACCGACTATCTCTATTGCTTCTACCCACCCCTAGTGAAATCTAGTAATGTACTATGTGGAAACCACTGTAACTGTACCTGCAAAGTATGACAAATTCATTGAATTGAGTTTTACGAGGTAGTGACACTAAATTGTCAGTCAGTTTTACACAATGTATAACCCGGCACATGTGCACGTCGGTTCAAGCTGCCATACTCCGTTAACGTAGCGAGATGAGAATGTTGAGGAAAATCCCAGGGTAGCGGGTATAATAACAGTATTGGTGATGATAGAAAAACTTATCGATGATACGACTGAAGGAAATATGCATAGGTAGAATAAAGAAATGTATAGGGAGTATAGAAATTTAAAATCTAAGGGAAACTAAAGAGTGAATGCACTTGCTTCACTGGGAATGATTCTGAGGCGTGTCACAAAGACTCTAATAATTGGTAAGGATAATCACTCGAACTCCGACCAGGTGGTTTGTACCTATTTACGTGGCTCAGTCAAATAGTGTCTTTATGAACTGATGCTATTTTCTGGTATGATTACCCCTAACTTCATCCCAATCCACTGCGACACCAGCTGTCATTTAGTTTACTCAGTCGATAAACACGTAAAGAAGTGTGTTACATCTCAAGTAACCATACGGTAACGATCGCGTTATTATCTGATGGATTAATGTTGTATATCTGTCGAGACTATTTTGGATACCGTTGCGAGTGACAATTGAATAATAATCTACCGAATATCACTCTAATTATTGTTGTCTTTTTTAGTCTAATCTAGTCACTTCAAGAAGTTAATTTAGTTGTTAAGTCAAATTTCTCTCATTACCAACACTCATATCTATCTACAAATCATCAATCAATAACGATGCAAGACATAAATATGCGTTGACAATATTACATGAGTACAGCGGACTTGTGTGTTGGGGGATGTACTGGAGTTTGACGCTTTTTAGTTATTTTACGGAGGGACCTTTGTTCCTAATAATCATGAAAAGAACACAAAATTAATGAGGGTTTTGTTTATCCACGAACGTAACTATAAAGCTCATGGGACAACTACTTGAGGTTAGTTGTATACAACATTTTCGTAAGTAGTTTTTGATGTATAAATCCATAGTTTTTGTTATTTGAATTCACTCATCCTTTTCGAATCGTAACTTCTTTGCTTAGTCTTTCTGATACTACTGTTACCTTGACTTCTTATTCAGCTTGTCAATTTCATTTCGATTTCAGTATGTCAAATTGGTTCAATGTACACATGTGCTAGGTTCTACTCTCATCATATCTGTCATTCAATCTATTCATTATAAATTGCAGTAGATTGATTAAGTTTACATACTGAACAATCTGTTTCCATTCGATATCCTAATTATATCAATTTATTATGAAAAATTGTCTTTCAAACCATTGATTATTTCAAACATATACACAAACATCAAAGCCAAACAACAATCATCATCATCATCATCATCATCAAAAAAATGAGGACGTTTTCCGATTGAGAAATGAAGTGATAAAAATGAATTAACTGACAACTATTCGAAGTAATATTGATTAATTTATCAGTTAAAAGATATTGATTAACTGATTATTGTATCATATATTCTATTAGACATTCAATGACATACAATATTCATTCTTTAATGATGAATGAGATTAAAGATAGAAGATAATGTAAACTAACTTGGAACACTATGAAAACCCAATCTTTCTTCTAATAAAAGAGAAATGAAATGAAATCTAATAAAATTCATGTATAAAATATACTTTTTTTTTCATATTCTTATTGCATTTTTATTTTTGAAATAGATTTACAAATATTTCTTGATTAAAGATAAAGCATTGGTTATATTGCCATGGTAATTGTTGGCTTATCATTATATTACTTTGAGAGTATATAAATCTTCCACCAACCCCACTTCTTCCCCTAATATTAATAATAACCATAGTAAATGTTAAATTAAAATGATTCAGATACAAGTCTAATATTATTATTATTCATTTCGTTAAAACTGGACTTTTTCACTTGTAAATTTGATTTATGCTCATTATGATCATAAATATTGTGATTTGAATCTTCTTTATTACTATTATTACTATTATTATTATTATTATCAATATCTGTTATATTGAATTGTTCAGGATCCATACCACCATAACAAATTGTACCAACTTCTAGAGATAATTCAGAATCATATAATCCATTAGTTGTTATTCGAATATCTCGGATTGGTAATAAAGATGGTTGTTTTGTACGTACAGTAAGAAGAAGACTTCCACTTTGTTTTTGCTAATAATTGAATATAGAATTAGAGGAAAATCAATAATTTAAGTGTCTTTTTTTTGTAAGCTAATAAATAAATTGAAGAAAAAAAGTCTAAAGAAAATAGTTTTCATGTCACTAAGTACTAAAAAATCAACATGGATAAGTACTCTTTAGAGAGAGGAGTAGGGTACTGATAAATTAAAAAAGAAACAGTATTCCGTTTCAGGAGTACTAACAGACTCAGCGAATTCAAAATAGATCTCAGTGACACATTACAAGCCTTACAAGATCTACTCAAGGAAAAGGAAACCACTCATATTGATCATCTGGAAAGGGGTTAAACAAGCATTAGCTTCAATGTGTCAGGAGTTGCTGGGCCTCAAGAAGTATCATCATAAGGAATGCATCTCTACCGATACTCTGGACAGGATTGGAGAAAGGAAGAACAAGAAGACAGCAATTAAAAACAGTCGAACAAGAGCAGAGAAAGTCAAGACATAACCTGAATGCTCAGAAGTAAACACACGAGTGAAGAGGAGCATTAGAACCGACAAGTGGAAATAAGTGGAAAACCCGACAATGACAGTGGGAAAAGCTGAAAGAGAAGGGAACATGAGACAACCATGTAACATAACAAAGAAGCTAGTAGGGAAATATAGTAAACTAAAGAGACCAGTCAGGAACAAGGAAGGGAAACCAATCACTGAGATTGAAGAGCAACGAAATAGGTGGATAGGGCATTTTGGAGCGCTTGGATAGACCAGCCGTCCAAACCCACCGGACGTTGAAATAGTACAAACAGATATTCCTATATGTGAAAATTATATTTGAAATAATCTCAGCGATTGAAACTTAACTTTTTCCAACGTTTCGTACA